TTAATCGTATATAACATATGTGACTGAACTAATCACATATGGAGCCAATTAAGACTCACTGCATAGAGGGGTTGCTTGAACCCTCACTGAACTATTTCTTTTTTTAGAGAAATGTATACCTAAATATATATTGTAGGGACAGTAATATACATAGCCCTCATTAAAATTTAAAACTTTAATCTTATAAACCCTACTAAATTTTTATCTTACTATTAACCCCAGATAAAAATTGCTAGTTTTGTGGGTGGAACTAATGGTTAATAGTTGCCATTATTTATGGGGTGTTTGGTACGAGGATTCATGCTATGGTTCGAATTATGATTCGTGACTCGCTACAGTATTTTCTCTCATAAAAAAATACACGTAAATTGAGAATGATTCTGAATCATAATTCTAAATCTATAAACCAAACGTCCACTTAATTGTGATAGTATTTATAAGGCTGCTCACAAAATTAAACAGAACTCTTCAAACTTGCACACATTATGGGGTTTATAGGTGGTTAAACCACTTTAATAATCACTACTTAGTACATATGATCTTCTGCTGTAAAAGTTTGACCAATTGATTATTCCTAATTGTTCTAATTTCTTCATCAACAATATCTCTGAATATCCCAAATAGTTGGTAATCCCACAATTGTTGGTCGGCTAATACAAAAAGTATCCATTAAGGAGGAAATTTCACTTGTTTTGCAAAGTAACTACTTGGAAGAGAATAAAAGGTTGATATATATAATTAGTTGCATTTTGAATACTCTATTTACTTTGAACTTTTGTTCTAGCCTTTAATGTTCTTATTAGTGGCCAAAAAAGCACATACCAATTACCATAATGGATTTTAATTTGTGCCCACATGTTTGACAAATATGGCCTTTAGCCTAACACCCCAACAAATGAAACCCATATTGTTAATATTGTCCTCTAAGATAGTACTACAACATTAAAGACTATATATATAAAAAGGCAAAATACATAACCAAGCCAGGGTATCAATCACCATAGATAGTATACAATATTATTTCAATAAGGTGGCAAAAAAGTATATCCTAACAGCCAACAATATTTCTTGTCAATATTATGTCTATTTATGGCTATTCAGAACGTCCATTTCCTCGCATTCATCGATTGGATTTGGGGCCACAATGTACCAACAAAGATTGACTAAAACAGAAAACAAAAACCATGGAGAAAACGAGGGTTTTCTATCAGATAATATATCTGTTAAATCTGCTACAATATTAATAGCAAGAGAAAAAGTACTCTTCTTTTTTCTTTTTTTTTTGTCAATGTGACAAGCAGTGAACAGAAATCAAGGTTGAAAATATGAATGTAGAAATTGACGTAAATTTTATGACATATGGAAGAGAGTTTTCCCCTAAAAATGACTGCATTGCATCTGTTTCAAACTTACCATCAAACAAAATTTCCCCTCTTATATTGCCTTTTATTAACTATTGCCTTTCATCACCTAGTTGTGCGACTCATTTATGACTAAAACTGTTAAAATATTGACGTTTCATTGATAAAGTATTAAAATAAAGAACAAAGTAAGACAACTCCTATCTTTTAGGGTCAAATTTGAAATTAATTCTAAATTGTTTTTATGAAAACCGTAAAATTAGACTCATGAAAGGCCTCTGAACTTTTTTTTTTGCCAATAAATAATCTTTGTATTGGAAGTTATATACCAAATAGTCCCTAAATTTTAAAAAAAGAACAAAAAAAAAAGAGTGAAAGTTAGCTTACTTGCGTACCAATGCTAAGTAGACCACTGGTTTACTTTATTTTCATGTTTGTTTGGAGAAAATTTCTTGTTTTTTTTTTTCCTTATTTAATTAATTAACTACCGGCTTATTCATAAGACTAGTGGTTCACTTGTAAATTATTTTTGGAGTAATTATAAAAATTTTCAATCGACTAAAGCACTTGCAACAATGTATCCCCAATTTTCAAAATGTAATTTATTATAATATTAACCAAAAAAATCTTTATAATAAGATTTTTACACAAATAATGAGTAACACTAAACAATTAGTGTTTTTTTCTTACAAAAATTTAAATTAAACTTTTTTATTACAGTATTTTTTTCTCACATATGCAACTTAAATTCTTAACTTAAGTTCTATTATACAAAAAAGAGAAAAGCCAAAGTAAAAGGTGACTTTTTCAGTTTTATAAAAGATCAAGAGGTGGGGAGGAATAAGAAATAAAGAAAAACCTAAGGAGAACTTGTAGATAGAAGTCGTTAGAACTTAAGAATCGAAGAAATCATGGGATATGTATCCAAAAAGTTTTAAGCTTTACCAATATTTTTTTTTTTTTTTTTTGCCTTTGAATATAATTAGCTTTACCAAGTTATTCTAACTGATATTAACAAGAGACGGATCCATATTAACACAAGTACATTTACTCAAGAAGCCTTGGAAGCCAAAGAGGAATTGTAAAGAAGAGAAAAATAAAAAGAAAAACACAAGAAAAAGGACAGGAAGTAATGAAGTTAAAAGAGAGAAGTCAGTGTCTCTGCCGTCCAATAAATGGGGAAAAGGAAAACAATGACATATTTTGGTGGGTGGGAGGCCGTTCGTGGCCATTTGATCATAATTTCCAACATGCCTCACAACTTACCATTTCAGATGGCTTATCCACTTGCTATTGATGGGTCAAGGCTTAATTTCTCATTATAAGTATTAAACAACAACAACCCTCTGTGAGTTTGTTGTAAGTGCTCTTTTTCATGAGGTATGACTTCGTTTCGTTCACTTTCGTGGATTCGAGTTTTCAATTTAAATTGAGATGTGATATTTTTTGAGAATTTTTAACTGTAGCAAAAAAAAAATGTAACATTTTCTGAGTGCTTTTACCTCTTTTTTATGAGGTAAGACTTGATTTCTCGTTACAAGTTTTGAACAATAGACTTTTTTTTAGCCATTAAATTCTAGCATAACATGTCTAGGTTGTGGAGCATTTTAACTTTCTTTTAGTTTGTTTATGCATTTTGGTTTTACTATTCTCAAGAAAATTGCACAACTATAATAATAATGAGATTATTTGTCTAGGGCCACCAAGTTAGGTTGATAGGTTCACTAGTGGAATCTTTTGCCCCTTTCGGCTTCTTGCTGGTCCAAGAAAATAATCAGCTAGCTAATCAGTGTTTTATAGGGGATCCTCCAAATTCCTTATATGAGATGCCACTAGAAAATTACAAGAGAAATGGGATTGAGAGTGTTTACTCTATGTATGAAAAAAAAAAAAATGTAACGAGCTGATTGTTTTGCATATTCGAGTTGAAAATTTAAGTTTAAAAGTGAATTTATGTAAGAGAAAATATTGCACTTAAGATAAGTTAAATCTAAATTGTTGTGGGAGAAAACACCATAATAAAAAGTTTAAATTGTGATTCGAATGGTTCCGAGAGGAAACTATTTGAACTTAGTTTTACATATTTTTATTATTTAAGATTATTCACTGGTGTCTCCTAAATTTTAGGGTCATTCTCAGTTTATTCTCTGAACTTTAAAAACTCTCACTTTGCCCCATGAACTTTGAATTGTTCCCACTTAACTCTTTTTACTGTAATTCTGTTAAAAATATATAGAAAACATTGAATAATGAAGTCACGTGGCATTTCTGTTTAGATTTTTATTAAAAATAAATAAATAAAAACTACATAATTACACCTAATCTCCTCTATTTTGGTCTAATTTTAGTAGAAATTACAATAAAATGGGGTAAATGAGAACAATTTAAAATTTAGGGGGCAAAGTGAGAATTTTTAAAGTTTAGTAGGTAAACTGAGAATGGCCATAAAATTCAGAGGGCTCCAGTGAAAATAATCCTATTATTTATATAAGTTGCAAAATGTATAAAGTTCCTTCTTTGACAAAGAAAACCCATATTTTCTACTTAAGTAATGTGTCGATTAAGATTGGTATTTAATCATACTTCTAACGACAACTTGCTTACTTTTCAACTTCTGATATGCAAGCTTGTTTGGATTAGCTTAAAAAAAGTCACTTTCGACTTATTTAGTCCAAAAATTAACTTGAGGTTGTTTGGATGGACAACGTAAAAGTATTTTTGCTTTTTATAAACTCTTTTAGCACAAACCACCTCCTAAGTGCTTATAGAAAAAGAGCTTATAAAAAGCTTTTCTTGTTTACCTTTTTAACCTTTTGTTTGTGAATATCAAATAAAAAATTTCATACATATCCTTTTATTATATTATTTTTAGACCAATAAGAGCTTTTGACTTATTTACCATACATGTGAAAAAGCACTTTTCCATGACTATCTAAACGTTAATTAAAAAACTCAGTCTTATGCTTCTCTTCTTCTGCTTAAAAGTAAAAATACAAATTCTCCCAGACCTAATATGCCATGCATAACCGGAAATAGCTTGCTTGACAGAAAATTAAATATCACCACTTCAAAAGTGGTTAACCAACCAATGATGGAATATTTTGGGCCTGTTTGTTTGCGTTTTCGTTTTCGTTTTTCACGGTTTTCAAAGCAAAAAAATAAAAACGGGTGTTAAAAACGTGTTTGGTGCAATTTTTTTTAAAAAACAAAACCAAAAATGTTTGTCTTTTTGTGAAAATCAGAAAACGAAAAAAATGTGTTTTCATTTTCTCGTTTTCGTTTTTTGTTTTCTGAAAAATGGATTTCACTTTTTTTTTCTTTTTCATTTTCTTCCCTCTTTTCTGAAACCGTTTTTGTATTATATATGTTTATTTAATATATTTATTTAATATAATATTATTTAATATATTTAATAATATTATTTATATAATATATTTAATAATATTATTTATTTAATATATTATTACATGTTTTCAAAAATTAAACTACCAAACGCAGTTTCAGTTTTTTTTAAAACTGAAATCAATCTCTAAATAAAACTACCAAACGCATTTTTAGAAATAATTCAAAAATGAAACTAAAAACGTTTTCATTTTCATTTTCGTACAGAAAATAAAAACGTTTTGGAACCAATTCCAAACGCACCCTTTAAAAATGATTTTCTGGTCGAAACTAGTTATAGACTTCCTTCAATAATAAATGAATGTTTTCTCAATCCGTGTCAGCAATCAATGAGAAAAATGACCCCTTTATTGCAGCAGATACATTGTCCTTTTGATGGATGTGAATGGCTTAACTTGTCGGAGTGTCAAATGGAGGTAAACTCCACTCACTTGGGTTGAAATCCAACAGTGAGTTCAAAACTTGATCTGCAGCCTTGTGGAGAGAGCTATCCAGTCTCGGATCCGGAACCATGACGACCGACCTGCGCGGAAAATGAAATCGAGTTAAGCAAACAAGAAGATGAAAAAAACTTATCCCAGAAAAAAGAATAAAAAAGAAAGAAAGAAAATTGCTCTTTTGTTCTGGAGTTTTCTGCATAATGTAGTTCGGCAGTTATCTATGTTCTGATTCAGCAGCAAAGCACAAAAAACAGAGGATATTTTACAACATATTATAAGATTTCTAGCACTTTTTCCCTGTTTTGAATTTTTAATTTTCAATAAGAATTACGATTCAACACTTGAACCTTTTCAGGTGTAGATGCTGATGAAGGGGAGAGTCAGGAGACTATGACAGCTCAAAATAATGAGCTAAGAGCATAGGGCTATTCGGTTAAACATCTCAATCAACGTGAAGGGTAGATGAACAAAATGAATGCATTTAATAGACATAATAGGGCATGGGACAAAATCAAGAACTAGTCCAAAGATGAGTACAATGTCCAATTTCGGAAGATCATGTTTGTTCGAGTGGAAAAGAAAAGGGAACAAAAGAGGGCGAAATGTTAGGAAAAGGAAAACCTACGGCCAAATTAACTTAAAGCCACTAAACAGGAATGAGGAGAACTATTAGTATTACAACACAAGGAATTCTTTCAATAGTAATGTCGTAATCAAACTGGACTATAAGGAAACTACCATGGAAAGAGTAAAAACAGTAAGCTCAAACCCGAAAAATTAAGTGCTCATTATAACAAGAAAATCTCTTTAAACTCAATTAACTTAGCACTCGAGATGAATTTCTATGATTATGTTTCGGTATAGACCAAAACAAACAAGTCGTTGCCTAACATTATGGCTGCTTCTACTCAGGGCATAATCCTTGTTAAATACTTAAATTCATTCTCATGTCAATTCATGTCATTTTATTCAGCAGTATATGAGGGCGTTCTTGAGTTGCTACTGTTAATGGCACGGAATCAAGAATCGTCACAATGAGAGAATAGAACATTGTGTAGCAGAAACACCCGTGGTCGAATTAACTGGCACCAATAACGACCCCAAATCAAGTTTATGAAAGGCCATCTATTCATTAAAAATGCAGGGTTGTTCTTGACAGACTTTCAACCAACATTGAGACCGGAAACTGGATGTAATTAAGCATAAATGAAGAACACATTTAAGCAAGTCTTACTGTTCAACTCTGATCAAAGCCACTAAACCATATTTCAGATTAGTCCTTGCTCAGGCAATCCATGTACATTTATGTTCTCCCAGGTCCTTTATGTTAATATTAAAGATAATGGAAAGCCCTTTCAACCGGCGATCAAGTTTAAGGATTACAGATTGCTATTTATATTCTTTAGGAGAGAACTACAATGGCAATGAAAAGGTCACTTGTGTTTGTGATGTGCGTGTTGGTTGCTGCAAATAGTGGCAGCTCCAATGGCCGAAACCAAACTCAGGCTCATAGGCAATATCCTTAAACCTTAATTTGCTGAGCATACAGGGCACTATATTTTGCACTGCCAATGGCAGAATAGGTGTTAATGGCACTTCTACCCCAGGTTTCACTAGTAAGCCCACACCATTTCTCAATTTATTTCGGCACCTTCATTTATAATTTATATCGTTCTAGCATAAATTGCTATCTATTTTGTCCTCGCCAAGTTGAAAGTTAACTCTTGTATTATTTCAAATACTCGAGAATCTCTATCATTCTATTGTTTTTATGTCCGTAGTATAAAAGAAAAAAAACACCTTAGTATCATGTGTTTTTTGGGGGGGAAAAAAAAAATCACTTTGGTACGGGTGAGATGGAGTTAGAAAAATAAGTTAGGGGAGGCAAAGGCATATACCAAACTTATCGAAAAAATGGACGAGGCTATTATGAAGTGGAGTAAATATAGAATTTCAAAATTTTCAGGGGGAAAATTACAAATTTCATCAATTTCAAACAACACACACACACACGCACAGACACACATATCTTTATTGCAATGACTGGAGGCATGTGATACTTCAATTCCCATAATTTAATAAGAAGTTGACGTAGCATCTCAATCCCTTTAGAATAATAAGAATTCAGATTTACATAATAGTTAACTCCTCTGTCTTTTTTAAGTATTGTACTCTATTGCTTTTCCTGGTTACTATAAATACAATCTAAATAATAGATTTCCTCCATTCTTTTCAAGCATGTGCAAGCCAGCTTAGCGTGCTATGCAACCGATTTCTTTAATAGATGCTTACTTAGATGTACTTCCAATCCACACAGCATTTTAATGATCAAAACAACATTTCCATCTAACAACTTTATTCATGAATCACAATGAACTGTCAACCAATCATTCCGAATATGTATATTTTAAATGGTCAAACTTGCAAAAGTATGGTGAAAAGCTAAAATATATTGACACCTGAATATATGACAATAAATGATTTGCTCTTGTTAAAGAAATGGTAAAATTAGAGCACTTACATCCCAGCATTCTTCGCTCCTAGAACTCCTGAAGGTGCATCTTCAAACACAAGAATGTTGCGAGCGTCTACTGGGCCTCCCTGTTTATCCAAAACTTGTGATGAGCCATTACAACAATTTCCTCTTTTAACTTCAAGATTGAAAGAGGTAATTGTGAGAAATTGTGAATGAAATTCTCATTAATTTCTGGTTCAATATTACAGCCAATAAATAGGATCACAAGGAAAAACATAAAACTAGAAACTACCTAAAATAGGAAACGGTGAATGAATACCAAATCCTCTATTCTAGGAAACTAATTACAATTAATTTACAGCTAGCACTACTCTGTAAATCAGAGAAGATCCGGATCCTAGAGATCACAAAGAATCCGGATTTCCACACTCCCCCTCAAGCTAGGTTGTGGATGTTGAGCAATCCTAGCTTAGAATTAAGTTCATCAAAAAACTTCCTGGGTATGGCCTTAGTTAGAATATCTGCTATTTGTTGAGTGGTTGGAATGTATTAGAGTGATATCGTTTCAGCCTCTATCTTCTCTTTGATAAAGTGTCTGTCAATCTCGACATGCTTTGTTCTGTCGTGATGAACTGGATTCTTTGTTATGCTGACAGCTGACTGATTGTCGCATAACACTCTCATAGGTTTTGTAATGGGAATCTTTAGTTCACAAAGTACCCTCTTCAACCACATCCCTTCACAGATACCATGAGCTAGTGCCCTGAACTCTGCTTCCGCACTGCTTCGAGACACTACTGGCTGCTTCTCGCTTTGCCATGTAACTAGGTTACCCCAGACATATGTACAGTATCCGGAAGTTGATCTTCTGTCTGTAACAGACCCAGCCCAATCTGCATCAATGTAGATCTCAATCTCCCTCCTTTCAGACCTTTTAAAGAATAATCCTTGACCTGGTGTCATTTTCAAGTATCTCAGGATCCTGTATACTGCCTCCATGTGCTCTTCTGTTGGGTCATTCATAAATTGGCTCACCATACTAACAGCAAAACTAATATCCGGTCTAGTGTGGGAGAGATAAATGAGTTTCCCAACTAACCTTTGATACCTTCCTTTGTCAACTGGTGCACTGTCATCCTTTCTTCCCAGTTTTATGTTGGGATCCATAGGAGTGTCAGCAGGCTTAGATCCAAGCATCCCTGTTTTGTTCAACAAGTCCCATACGTACTTTCGCTGAGAAACTGAAATTCCCTTTCTTGAACGGGCTACCTCCATTCCTAGAAAGTACTTAAGTGTTCCCAAGTCCTTGACCTCAAATTCCCTTGCTAGAAAACTCTTTAGTTTGGTTATTTCTTCCAGACTATCTCCAGTCAGAATTATGTCGTCCACATACACGATGAGGATTGCCTTTTTTCCAAAGGTTGTATTTTTGATGAACATAGTGTGATCTGTCTGACATTGATCATACCCAAATCCTTTTACAGCTTTAGTGAACCTGTCAAACCATGCTCTTAGTGATTGCTTTAGGCCATATAGCGACTTTTTGAGTTTGCACACTTTGTTGGATGTTGTTCCACTCTCAAATCCTGGTGGTATCTCCATGTACACTTCTTCTTCTAAATCCCCGTTGAGGAAAGCATTCTTCACATCAAGCTGAAATAGCGGCCAGTCTAGATTGGAAGCAAGAGAGTTGAAAAACAGGTTGCACGAAATTATCTTTTCTGTCATTTGAGATTGTTCTTTTATAGAGAATTACAGCACCTAAGAAACCATTAGATCAGGAAACTAAATCACTGATTAAAGGAAAGAATAATTCCTAGTTAGAGCTTTCCTAAAATACACAGATTTATACCTAAAATAGCTAAATTACAGCTAGAGACTAATTTACAACTAGTATGTATTTACAGCACATATTTTTCCTGATTTTCTAACACTCCCCCTCAAGCTGGTTTGAAAATATCTTCCATAGCCAGCTTGCCAACTAGAAAATCGAACTGTTTTGTGTGCAATCCCTTGGTAAAGATATCAGCCACTTGCTCTCCGGTAGGAATGTGTTCCATATGAACCAGTCCATTATCTATCTTCTCCTTGATGAAATGCTTGTCAACCTCCACATGTTTTGTGCGGTCATGTAGGACTGGATTGTGTGCTATTGAGATTGCTGCCTTGTTGTCACAGTACAACTTCATAGGAGATGACTCTATCGCTTTTAACTCTTCCAACAGCCTTCTAATCCACATGATCTCACAAATACCATGGGCTACAGCTCTAAATTCAGCCTCAGCGCTGCTCCTTGCAACCACGTTCTGTTTCTTGCTTCTCCATGTAACTAAGTTACCACCTACAAATGAACAGTATCCAGAAGTGGATCTTCGGTCTACTATGCTCCCAGCCCAATCTGCGTCTATGTAGGCTTTAATCTACAAGTGTCCTTGTGGCTTAAACAAAAGTCCTTTGCCCGGTGTCCCCTTTAGATACCTTAAAATTCTGTAGACGGCTTCAAAGTGTGCTGGTCCTGGGGCATGCATAAACTGGCTGACCATACTAACAGGAAAGGCTATATCTGGGCGTGTATGGGATAGATAAATCAATCTCCCAACGAGTCTTTGATAACGCTCCCTGTTCTTTACATTCTCAGCTTCTGCAGGTTGTAGTTTCACATTAGGTTCTATAGGGGTTTCAGCAGGTTTACACCCTAGCATACCTGTCTCGTTCAGCAAGTCAAGAACATACTCCTTCTAGCTTACAAAGATGCCTTCTCTAGATCTAGCAAACTCCATCCCAAAAAAGTATTTCAAAGCCCCGAGATCTTTAATCTCAAACTCCTCAGCTAGTTTCTTTTTCAACTTTTCCAGCTCATCGCAATCATCCCCAGTTAACACAATATCATCCACATATACTATCAGGATAGCTATTTTACCGTCATTCGAATGCCTGTAAAACATTGTATGATCGGCTTGACTTTGAACATATCCATGGCGCTTTATTACCTTACCAAAGCGCTCAAACCAAGCTCTCGGTGACTGTTTAAGTCCATACAAGGACTTCTTCAATCTGCACGCTTTCCCATTTCCACACCTTTCTTCAAAACCTGGTGGCGGACTCATGTACACCTCCTCCTCAAGGTCTCCATTAAGGAAAGCATTTTTAACGTCTAATTGGTGTAAGGGCCAATTGGAGTTGACAGCAAGAGATAATAGGACCCTAATTGAGTTTATTTTGGCTACCGGAGCAAAAGTCTCTTGATAGTCTATCCCATAGGTTTGGGTAAAGCCTTTTGCAACAAGGCGAGCTTTGTATCTCTCGACACTTCCATATGCCTTACTCTTGATAGTAAACACCCATTTGCACCCCACAACCTTTTTTCCCTTCGGTAATTCTACAACCTCCCAAGTACCATTCTTCTTCAAGGCACTCATCTCTTCAAGCACAGCCATCCTCCAATTCGGGTTACCAAGTGCTTCCTGAATATTTCTAGGCACAACAAGCTTTGAAATGTTTGTAGTGAATGCTCTATGATTGTCAGAAAGGTTTTGATGGGAAATATATTTGGCAATAGGATGTTTGGTACAGGTTCGGGTTCCTTTCTATGGGCAATAGGAAGGTCAAGATCAAGATTTTGTTCAGGGATAACAGGGGTTGGTTCCAATACAGGTTTAGGTGCAGAGTTCTCTTTCCTAGAATCTGACTGTAAGTTTAAGTCAGTAATAGGAGAGGAAGAAGAAGGAACAGAAGAAGGATTACCTGAGGTATTTGAATGACCACTGCTCAGGGCTTCCGGTTGACCACATGCTGGAATAATGGCTTGGTCTCTACCACCTCTAAGGACACCTTTCCTGGAATAAACCATAGACTCAAGATTGTTTCTATTTTTTTCCATTCGTGGTATTTCTTTTTCTGTCAGACCAATATCAGTTTCGGTTTCTTTAGGCCTAGTTTCCAAAGTTTCTTTTTTAAAAAGAGTATCAAGAAGTGTGCTAGGTAAGGGTTCGGTAATTTCCCAGAAATTTGGTTCAACTATCTTCTCCCCCTGAAGCAAATTTTTGGTAAAGTATGGTGTATTTTCCATGAAAGAAACATCCATAGTGACAAAAAAACGTTTTGTAAGGGGATTAAAACATTTGTAACCCTTTTTATTGGGTGCATACCCTACAAAAACACATTTTTCAGCTCTTGGATCTAATTTAGACCTGAGTCTTTTTGGAGTGTGCACATATGCCGTGCAACCAAATATTTTTAAGGGTAAGTCAGAATTGATTCTAGATTCTGGGAATACCTTTTTTAAGCAATCCAGAGGGGTGATATATTGTAAGACTTTGGTAGGCATCCTGTTGATTAGATACGAAGCTGTCAATATAGCATCACCCCATAGATACTTTGGAACATTCCTATAAAACATCATGGCTCTGGCTACTTCTAACAAATGCTTGTTCTTCCGCTCAGCAATGCCATTTTGTTCAGGTGTGTCGGAACAAGAGGATTGATGTAAAATTCCTTTTTCATTTAAAAAGGTTTCCAAAACTTTATTAAAATACTCTGTTCCATTGTCAGATCTCAAAATATTAATTTTTGTTTGAAACTGAGTTTCAATCATCTTATAAAATTCTTTAAAAATCTGCTCTACATCAGACTTTTCCCTCATTAAGTAAACCCAATAAAGACGTGTATGATCATCAATAAAAGTCACAAACCATTTTTTTCCAGAAATTGTGGTCACTTTTGAAGGACCCCAAACATCACTATGGAATAAGTAAAACGGTTTTGAAGCCTTGTAGGATTTCGGAATATAAGACTTTCTTTGACTTTTTGCCATTAAGCAACTCTCACATTGAAACGATGAAGGATCAATCCCTTTAAATAGCATTGGAAATAAATGTTTTAGATAAGAGAAACTTGGATGGCCTAAACGACAATGCCAAACCATTATTTGATCACGTACAGATAAAGAACTGATACTACTCAGCCCTTGAACCATTTTATTACTAAGAAATTTATCCTCGAAATAATAGAGACCATTAATCATCCTAGCACTGCCAATCGTCTTCCCCGAGCTCCGGTCCTGAAAAATGCAATAGGATTCATAGAAAATAACAGAACAGTTAGAGTCTCTGGATAATCTACTAAC